TTACACTACAGGATAATGGAGCATTTCACATGTTCAATTCCTCCTTAAATTAAGAATTACTTTATCTTATACTGTATGTATTACATCAAATTCAATCATTTAGATTGCCTTATTTGCCATACTGTAATCATTTTAGCATCACATAATTCCCTGATTGATTGTTAGTGCTTCATGTGTTCTCATGGCTACTCCCTTCTCTAGTTAAGCCTGTATCCTGCTTTAGAATGGGGCAGTAATGATGTTATTGGCCCTCACCAGCCTAATGGACATCCGAATACCACTGAGCGGAACTCGGAGTATGGGGCGGCGAACATCCTGTGAGGGCAGAAGGATGTTTACAGCACTGCAGGGACAGTGGGAGTTAAGTACAGGCTGAGTTCTGGCACCGAGCGAGAAGACAACAGCTGTTATGCATAGAATGTTTTTCCAGGTAACTTTGTACGTTCTAGCGGATGTAATAGGTGATGTCAGCTCTTGTGCAAAGTGTACATGACTAACCACTTCTGCGGAGCTCTCTGAGGTACTACAGATAATAGTGGACCACCCACAGCTCACACTGGTTTGTGGTTGGATGAAGTTGACCCAAACAGATCAATAATCAAGTATTGTTCCTCTGTAGAGCTGGAACTCTTAGCTTAGAGCTGAAATTAGCAAAGTGTTACTTACTTATATGATTGTTTGGGGGATTGCTGGTCAACAGTCAAAGGTTGTTGTGACCTTAAGTCTTTCCATTTCTTGTGAGTCAATGTCTCAGGAATGCCTGGATGTAATTTCTTCCTATTTGGCACAAACCACAACTTGAACTTAAACTGATTAGAATTGTTAGTAAAATGTCACTTTGACTACACTAAACATGTTTTAGGCCATAACTCAATAAGTATTGTTCTAATATACACATTTTGCACATTTTATAGCGTGAAATAATAGAGGGATTTGTTAAAGGCATTGAATAAAACGTCAACAGGACTGGTTGGCAGAGGCATGCATACACAGAGCAATACTTCTTGTTAAAAATAGACATACACTTATTCTGAACATGCTAAATAGTCATAGCAAACGCATCTGAACACCTTAGCTCATGAAGACCATATCAGAGATAAAAGTATTTGACTGTTGAACTACAATTACGTGTGGTCGCCAGGGGAGGAGCTGCAATGAGATAACTATGTTACTGTAGGCAACTGTTTGCTAGCACATACACAAAAGCAATGTTATAGCAAGATTATACGTCTCTCAGCTGGATTTGGAGTTATGCTCCAGTGGCCAAGGTCATGTTGCTGCAACATTAAGGGCCTGTGTCCACATTTTTTCTGGCATTTGCGCATGGTGTCGCATGATTACGCGTTGAGAAAACCTCTGCACTTAGCACCTTTAATCTGAGCGGCCCTGCATTTTTGTGCAGCCACTTAAAGCAATTATATTTGAAAATAATATATTTTTTAGGACGTTAGTCATGTCACTTCAGAACAAAGACTAAGAAGCCAATTTCTTTGAGCAGATCAGTCAGGCTGACCCTGGATGTTGCCACCGGTCAGTGTTGTACTTGTATCGCTCTACGCAGATCTTCCTGGTGATTGGTTATCACAAAGGAGTGCCTTACTGTATGACAGCAGGATAAAGGGTTGGTTTTAGACTCATACAACTGAAAGCTTTCTCTGTAATAGCCAGTGTCATTTGATTGCAATAAAGGAAAGCTATTTGCCTTTTGTCTGAGCAGAAGGTATTTATAACTTTGCATTCGATCTAAGATGTTATGATTAATTCACAAGCCTGCTGTTGATCATGCTTTCTATCGGCTCTTCAACACCTGTTAAAAACATAGCTATGTTTTGAGTTTCCATCGTAAACAAGATATTTATGGCAGAAGTGAAAAATATCCTCTTGGAAATGTCCACTATGGCAACTAGATTCCATCAGATGGGAGGGTTTGTTGTTTTATTTTTCTAATATCTTCTTAAGAATGATTTAAATGTGAAAACAAGGAAGAGCCATAGAAAACGGGATTAGAAATAAATCATAACTAGCTAATTGCAACGTTTAAGCAGCTATTGGGAAAACATTCTGTGTCCTGACAAGATATCCACTGTATCATCTGCTTTGTATGCAATGCAGCCTTTGCCAAGAACCAGCTGGGGAACTTGGCAAAGCAGACTGCTGTGTGTGTATCTGTCTGTCTGTGCATGCGTGTGTTTTCATGCACGTGTTTCAGAGCAGCTGATCTTTTCCTGGCTGTTTCCAATTTGCACATCTCCATAATGTTTTACAATCCCACTTTCAGTAAGCCCCTCCTCTCCCTGGGGTAACGCAGTTTTAACTGAGAGCAGACTGGAGGAGGCGCGGGGCCGGCCCCCGTGGAGACAGTGCTGCGGGGACACTTGTTACAATCTGCTGGGTCAAATCCCTCAGGGATGGGCTGTCTGACGGCCCCTCACCGTGCCACTTTTACCTCATCAGTGTGTTGTAAGACTGAACTCGTTTTTGTACTAAGTTTTGGCAAACAACCAATGAGTATTCAAGCTTTTAGCAAAATGGTAGCTGCATGAAGCTGCAGCATTTGTAGGGCTGTGGGGACATCCATTTATGTAAGCCTTCATATTTTCTAAAATCAATCCTTTTTTTCTACAAAAGAGCAATGGTATTGCAACTGAAGGAGTAATTCTAGACACCAAGCCAACGTTTTGTCAAGCATTGTTGTGTTGTATGCTGCAAGATCACAGTACAATCGCAGTTATTTTGTGTACAATTTCCTTGCTTTTTAAAAAGGCAAGTATCTGAGAAATAAGCTAGCTAGCAGCTAACCTGCCAACTTTATTTACAGGCAGCATTTTTATTTTGTATGACTTTGACTTCTTTAAGTCACTGGGATTTGAAAATCTAATTTGGTTTGACATTACAATCAGTTGAAATCACTTTTTAAATCTTAAACATTCTTTTAAATAGCACCACTAGTTATGGCTAGATATTGAAAATAACCATGACACCAATCATCCAAATTAAAACATACTTATGTTAACATATTCACATATTTTGTAACATTAAAGTGAGTAAGTAAGTTATAACCATACATCTGTAAAAACAGGATGACACAAAAATCTGTTTGAAAACGAAATTACAAAAACGTATTTTTGCAAAAATGATATTTAAGTTCAGATACTCAGTGTACAGCAGTGACGTGCGGTGAGGTTCATGGCTGGTGAGGCTCTGTCTCCCCTGACTGCACGTCGCTGGTGTACAGCATGTCTGCAGTTCATAAAGGCAGAACTTCACTCTCACAAACTGTTTCTGCGGAAAGCCAATGATGCACTCTGAGCTGAAGGGGAGGTTTCTATCCTGGGATGTTGAACATTCTCCACCTTCATACTTTTGATTCATGCAGTGCATTGCACAAAACCACTCTTCTATAAGGGGGGGGGGCGTTCCCAAGCTGAGGGGCCTTTGACTTGAAGAGCACACATATTTGTTTTTCATCACCAATGATATATCATTGGTGATGAAAAACAAATATGTGCGCGCGCTCTTCAAGTCAAAGGCCCCTCAGCTTGGGAACGCCCCCCCCCTTGGTTTCCTGTTGCAGAGTTTGTCTGTTCCATTGCACAAAATGTAATTTAGATGTGCGATGTTGAAAAGTGATGAACTAGTTCCTCTCGGGTGTTAGAGACCTTATTTACTTTGCTTCTGAATGAGACGTAATCCCCTCCGGAAGGCCATGTACCTAAAAGTAAGTCATCCTTGGTTCAGCTCTTCTCTCAGCCCTCACTACAAACCTGCCGTCCATATGAGTATGTATTATGGATTGCAAAAGAGATATGGCTCACAAAGCTCACAGCAGCGGGAGAGCATGGGGTTTAAGTGTCAGCTGTGCCAACATGACTTTTGTCAGGGAACTGGAACTTTTTGTTTAGTTGGGCAGATTCCAGCTGCTTATTGTGTCCGCTGTGTTCTTTGATCACTTCAAATAAACTATGGGCACATTTCACTTTTCAACTTTCTTAAAGGAACACTTCACCCACCCAAATGACCCTTTGTTACCTTGAATTCTTGAAGAACACATAGATTTATTTTCGCACTCCCCCATGCCAAGAATCCAATATCAAAGAAAAGTCTAAACAAATTGAAGTAGATGGCGTTGTTTATGTTTAAAAACAGCAAAACTATACTTAAACAAAACTCTAACATTTGTAACACTTGTGTGAACATTCAAGGGTTGCTTACAAAAGCGGGCTTCTAGTTAATTTGATTACGTTTTTTAAATACGAAGATTTTAGTGGAAATGTACGTGTTTGGGAAGTAATACACAAAGGACTTTGGTTGTGCATTACTAGTACTGTACACACCTGTTGTGCAGAGTTATATGGGTGGTTCTGACTAGTTTTGATGTTGTTTAACGCGCCTCAAATTGACTTTAATTCAAAAATAACTTGAACTCTTTTTTTTTAATCCACTTTAGAAGCATGCGAGAATGCTTTTCTTCACAAAAGGTTACACAGAACAAGATATTGATATAAACATGATCATTTTGTGGTAGAAGTATTGCTTTAAAATGTACAGTCAGTGCTAGTAGAGTCATCTTATGTTAAATGTAAAATGGTAGACATGCGTGTACGACTCAGGAGCAGTTATAGTTTAGCAGCTTATAAAAGTCGGGAGTTAAATGCATAGTGTGTTGTGTTTGAGGATTTATGGATCCAGTTGCTGCTTTTCGATCCCATTACGACTATTTTTAACATGTTTGACTTTAAGGACTTGGATTGATGCCTCCGTTTTTGAAATTAAACAAATAGACGAATCAGATATGAAGTCATATGGGCTGTTGAATGTAGGTTTCAATAATCTTTTACTCTGTTCCCAGCTTAATCGACTGTGATAGCGAATACAAAAGCAACATTTCAGAGAGCCGCCGGTTGAAACATGTATTGACAGTGGGAGAGATAAGGGCCTTTATGAGGGGATTTTATTTCACTTTTTAATGGCGTTGCTTAATTTTTTCTTCTCTGTTCCAGATCTGCAGCTCGTAAATCATCGTCTCGCTTTGACATGGCCAAAAGCAAGATGGATAGCATCGAGCGGAGCGGGGTGGTGGCACTCATACTGCTGTGTCATCTAACAAAGGTAGGAGAGTCTGTATGCAAACAGGCACTGAAAAACATACCAAATATAATTCAAATCAGAATACTCTATCGCAAGAGACATCGGGTTTGGTGACAGTTGCCTTATTTTAGAAGTAAATAAAATAACAGATAAAAACATAAATCAAAAATAGAGTTAAAATGTGTTGTAAAAAGAAACAACAAAATAAAAATACATATATATATATATATTAACATATTAAAATGTATTTGAAATGTCCAATAAAATAGAATGTATTCTTGTTAGCAGTGGTGTGATTTTACATTTACTTAAGTTCTCTTCTTCAGTATACATTTGATGCACTTGTACTTAAAAGCCTCTTGGATCAGTTGAAAAATGCCTCCTGTCACCAAGCTGAAAACAAGACCGTTTTTAGAGAAACTCATGAAAAAGTTGACTTTTTAAAATGATGTGGATCTCACAGGACAGAGACGCTTAAAAGATATGCCGATCTTATACAATATGATGTATTGCTTTACAATAAACTACCACACAGTATATAAAGGAGTTCAAATATTTATAAAATCCACAGCAGTAAGATCTAACATACATGTGGCATACTGTACTGCACCACTACCTACCAGAGAGCAATTGCCGCGAAACAACTCAACAAAATAACAGCTATACAAAATGTCTATACGTAAGTAGCGATCTGTGCCCAAATTCCACTTTGTCCGTTTATGTCGGAAATTCGATTGTCTTTTTTTCCAAATACATTCTAAAACGGTCCAAAGCTGTGATCCTTCACATTTAAAATAAATACAAAATCTTTCATTGCTTTTCCTGAACTTCCTGTCCGAATTAGTGTTGTCAGTGTGAGTGATCTGATTACACGTAAATGTGCTTACCTCGTGCTATTTCCTATTTTTTCACGGCCATTTTGTGTCAAGAGCATTTTGTTATGACATCATCAGAAGATGAAATTGGCATCCATCTGCTGATGATGTCATAACCTGACGGCTTTGATGATGACCTCATCGTGACCTCATCGTGACCTCATCTGCTCACGATGAGGTCACGATGAGGTCACGATGAGGTCATCATCAAAGCCATTGGCATTCTGAACATGTGTGCAGGTCAAACGGATTGACTTCATACACTTACTTCCACGGAAACCTACATTCACCATAGGAACAATACAGTCCCATACAGACAACAAGTCTACTCAAAACATTTACCGTCTTCTACAAAGAAATACGGTCTTGCACAAACACACTTTCATTATTCTACCTACGCTCAATTCAAGACTAAAACAGACTTGTGCCATGGCTGGAATAATGATCCCAGCAGTGTGTGAGCAGGTGAGCTGCAGACAGGAGAAGGAGCAAGCCGCCCAGAGGCTCACAGAGACCCGAAACACGCTGGGCAGCAGAAATACTGCATTGGAAGGTGGTATTAAACACTGGGAGTTCCTATATGGACTTCTGGACAAGCATACACGTGTCCTGGCAGAGAAAAACAAGCACTTTGAGGTGAATTGGCCTAAACACGAGAATATGTTGAATACCAGGATCCAGCAAAGGGACAGTGTAATCAGGGGTCTGACAGAAGCCAACAAGATCCTGTCGAAAGAAAATGCCGACTTGGTGGGAAAAGAGCAGAGCTGGCAGGATCAGACCCGCCACATGGACGCTGCAATCGTGCGTCTGAACAAGGAGAAGGAGCTTCTCTTCCAGAAGCTTGCAGTGACCACAAAGAAATACAATGTACTCATCGTGGAATCTTTGGCTGTGGAAGCAGACATGAGTCCAATGGTCCTGCAAGAGGAAAAGCAGTGTCCAGAGTCAAACATCGGGACAAGCCATACAAGGAATGAGGAAGATAAAAAGTCACTGGCAGAGAAGTTCAGAAGAGACATGGCTGAGAAAAAAGAAAGCTGGGCTTCTCTAACCAAACTGATGAAGGAGAAACTCCAGAAGATTGAGGACAAGAAGACGCATCTGGAGGAAATGCCCACAAAGGTCCTGCCTGAGAAGCAAGAAAGCTTGGCAGAGGAAGTCAACTTGAAGTCTGAAGTCCTCAAACTGGAGGAGAAGGTCACTGAGGACTCGGCTGTGAAACAACATAGCGTGGAGACAGTAGTGGTGACAGAATTAAAACAGGAGGAGACGTCCACAAAGGACCTGGTTGACAAACCAAATTGCTCTGAGATGAAAGTCACAAAGATGATCGAAGTGAAGGAGATGGAGGACAACCTGGCCAATGAAGACCACAGCTGTGGAACCAAAGAGCTGGAGGATGAGAGGAAATACCTGGAAGAGTTCCCCTACTTACCGGCGACCAGAGCAAGACGGGCCGTGCCGCAGGACCAGGAGAGCAGACGGCAGGATACACTTAACTTGGCAGCAGCGGTGGGGACGGTAGTAAAAGAAAGGACATATGAAATAAAGTCCACAAAGGACCTAGTTAGGAAACCAAATAGCTGGGAGATGAAAGTCACACCGACGGAGATGAAAGTAACAGAGGTGGGGGACAACCTGGCCAATGAAGACCAGAGCTGCGAAAGCAAAGTGAAGAAGGGGGAGGATGAGGAGAAGGACCAGGAGGAGTTACCCCACTTGAAGAAGACCCAGGCAGGAGAGGCAAGGCTGCAGAAAAAGATAAGAAGAAAGGAGAAAAAACAAGAGAGGAGACGAGACAAGGAGAATGCAGGCCGCTGCTAGTTGTTCATGACAACAGTAGCTCCCTTTTATCCCCCCTCTTCCCCTCTCTTCGCCTCTCTTCCCCTCCCTCAACCCTCCTTCATCTTCCTCACCCCACCTCCACCTCATGCCCGTCTTTCATCTGCCCTTCTTCCTTCCCCTCTCTATAATATGTTTGCATTGGGGTTTCTCCTGGAACGCAGGTTTTCCCACTTTACATCCAGAGGCATTTCTTATGCCTCTGGATGTAAACAAAAAAACACAGTTAAAGAAATACCTCCATCCACCTCAACTCCCTGCCTCTGCCCACCCGTCTCCCTCACCCACTGCCCACCCGTCTCCCTCACCCACTGCCCACGACTTGCAATAAGTGCAAAAACCATAGAGATTCCAACTCCGAACAACAAAAAGTGCAGATATATTGACTTCAAGCAAGTCATTCTGACCTGAAGTGAATATATCTGCACTTAGTGTTGGTGCTGGTGAATTAGATACAAGTCCTAAATTAACTTTTTTAATTAACTGTTTTATTTATTTGTATTGTATTGCCAAGGTACAAAAAGCCAGGCATTAAAGTCAGATATATGCATTTTCATTGAATACAAATAAACTAAAGCATTTCATTAAAACTTAAAAAGTCTATATTCAATGTCTCCACCTCACTTAAACATAAAGAGTACACACATTGTTATATGATATTTTGTTGACTAGAAAGTTCAAGTACTGCAAAATGTGAACAATAGACTGTCGTTTAAAGGGCTGCCTGCGACTCAAACATGTGCTCGTCTAACAGCAGTCGTCAATTCAGGCGATTAGTCGACTAATCGTCGCACGTTTATGATATATCATTATTATTATTGAACTGATGAAGTTAAACTTTATTATTGAAAAATCCCACAAGATGTCCGGTAATTACAAGTTCAGTATCGTTAACTTCAATATTTGTTATTGTCTTTAAATAAAAACCTTTAGCTGTATAAACCCCACTATCAATTAAAAACGTTGCTTAGTGCTCAAAACTGAATATAGAGATTTTTTGAAAACTGATTACATAAATATTATTATTATAACTGCACTATTTCACTATTTTTCTTTTTGTATTTACTTGTCCTAAGATTTCATCGTCCTAACTCCACGTGTTGACTCATGTAAACATTTTAAGTAAACATTATAAAACACTTTCACACAGACAATTTAAATGCAATTCACTGTTTTATTAAGTAACCATAAACCATTTACCAAAGAACAAAAAAAAAAAATATATATTGTTTGCCAAATAATTCACTTTTAAATAATAAACACCTTAAAACTGTGCAAAAGACTTTGAGAAATGTCCAGCGACATATTTTGAACCATCACTTATGAGTGAACACAAAGTTACCTGGAGCAGTTGTGCTCATTCATTTACCACATGGACCACAGACCCCATACATATAGAAGTATCAAAGAATGTACTGACACATTTTATGACACCAAATGTTATTTTAATGTTTATACCTTAAGTAAGTACATACTTCCTTGTGTTTTCTTAAGCAGGGTTTTGACCAAAGGACCTGTATGTGTAGAAGAGCATTTTTACAGTGTGTTGTAAAATATAGTATAATGCTATATGATTACAGCCTGTCGTGTTGTTTTTCATCAGGGTAATTGGATTTATGGTGTAGTGAAATATACTTAGCAAACATTGTAGTTTACTATTAGCTTTGGTTTGACATATTTAGACTTACTTATGTCGGTTTATGTTGTGTAAAAAGCTGCTTTAGGTTTGTGTTTGCTTGTCCTATTTTCCACAAATGGATTTAATGGAAGCTTGTGTATGTTAGCCTCCCTTTTCCAGCGTTATAAGGAGGAAATCATGGACTGTCTTTCTTGAACGCATCCCAAAAGAGTCAGAACAAACAGCTGAAATTGAGTCCAGACATATGCTTTCACGCATACTTTTTTTATTATTACATTATTATTACATTGCATTTAGCTGACGCTTTTATCCAAAGCGACTTACAATAAGTACATTCGACCAGGAAGACACAACCTTGAAGAAAACAGAATCATATAAGTACATCAGGTTTCATAGAGCCAAACATTTCAAGTGCTACTCAACTGGCTTTAGATAAGCCAGTCCTTTATTAGTGTATAAGTGCTTTGTTAATAGTTCTATTGCTCGAAGTGGAGTCGAAAGAGATGAGTTTTCAGTTTGCGCCGGAAGATGTGCAAGCTATCTGCCGTCCTGATGTCAATGGGGAGCTCATTCCACCATCTTGGAGCCAGGACAGCAAACCCACGTGTTTTCGCCGATGGGAACTTGGGTCCCCCTCGCAGCGAGGGTGCAACGAGTCGTTTGGCTGATGCAGAGCGTAGTGCACGCGCTGGGGTGGACGGTTTAACCATGTCCTGGATGTAGGAAGGGCCAGATCCATTCGCAGCATGGTAAGCAAGTACCAGTGTCTTGAAGTGGATTCTAGCAGTTACCGGAAGCCAGTGAAGGGAGCGGAGTGGTGTGGGAGAATTTAGGAAGGTTGAAGACCAGACGAGCCGCTGCATTCTGGATGAGCTGCAGAGCTCGGATGGCACATGCAGGTAGACCAGCCAGGAGGGAGTTGCAGTAGTCTAGGCGTGAGATGACGAGAGCCTGGACCAGAACCTGAGTCGCTTTCTGTGTCAGCTGGGGACGTATCCTCCTGATGTTGTAAAGAGTGTATCTGCAGCAACGGGTTGTAGCAGCGATGTTTGCAATGAAGGACAGGTTGTTATCTAGGGTCACACCCAGATTCCTTGCAGTCTGAGTCGGGGAAACAACTGAGGTGCCGATGTTGATTGTTAGGTCAAGAGTGGGACAATCTTTTCCCGGAAGGAAAAGCAGTTCAGTCTTGTCAAGGTTGAGCTTGAGGTGGTGAGCAGACATCCACTGAGAGATGTCAGCTAGACAAGCAGAGATGCGTGCAACGACCTGGGTCTCTGAGCGGGGAAAGGACAGAATTAATTGGGTGTCGTCAGCGTAGCAGTGGTATGAAAAACCATGCGGGCTAATGACTGATCCGAGCGAGTTTGTGTACAGGGAGAAGAGGAGGGGACCAAGAACAGAGCCCTGAGGGACCCCCGTAGTTAATTGACAAGGGTCGGACTCAGACCCTCTCCAAGTCACCCTGTAGGTGCGGTCTTTGAGGTATGAGGTGAGGAGGGAAAGTGCAGAGCCTGAAACTCCAAGTTTTTGGAGAGTGCGAAGGAGGATCTGATGATTCACCGTGTCGAATGCAGCAGACAGGTCCAACAGGATGATGACAGAGGAGAGGGATGCAGTTTTGGCAGTGTGCAGTTCCTCCGTGACAGCAATGAGAGCAGTTTCTGTGGAGTGACCTGCCTTGAAACCAGACTGGTGCGGATCCAGAAGGTTGTTCTGATTGAGATAACAGGAGAGTTGTTTAAAGACAGCGCGATCAAGTGATTTAGACAGGAACGGGAGTAGAGAGACAGGCCTGTAGTTTATAACATCAGACGGGTTGAGAGTGGGTTTCTTTAGGAGAGGGTTTACTCTTGCCTCCTTGAGACTGTTTGGAAAGTGACCAGAAGTTAGAGAAGTGTTGATGAAATGGGTGAGAACGGTAGAATATCAGGAGCGATAGTCTGAAGGAGGTTTGAAGGGATAGGGTCCAGAGGACAGGTGGTAGGGCGGGCAGAGGTAATGAGGGTAAGAACCTCACTTGGAGAGAGAGGGGAAAAGGAGGTTAATGTGTGGGTGAAAGGTGGGTCTTGTGACCCAGCAGTGAGTAAAGGTGAGTCAGAAAAAGAAGAGCGAATATCATCAACCTTTTTTTCAAAGTGGGTAACAAAGTCGCTTGACAGAAGTGAGGAGGGGGGAGGAGCTTTTGGAGGGTCCAAGAGGGTGGAGAAGATGGAAAATAGTTTTTTAGGATTGGAATAGGAAGATTGGATCTTATCTTGAAAGAAAGTGCTTTTTGCCTGAGAGATCGAAGCAGAGAAAGAGGAGAGGAGAGCTTGATAGGTTAGGAGGTCGTCACGGTGTTTGGATTTCCACCATTTCCGCTCTGTTGCCCTAAGGACGGTTCTATTAGCACGCAGTGCATCATTTAGCCAGGGAGCCGGAGGGGACTGACGAGCCTGCCGAGATGTGAGAGGACAGAGCGACTCCAGAGTGGATGAGAGAGTAGAGAGGAGAGTTTCTGCAGCAGAGTTTGGAGGCAGGAGTTGGAACGAATCAGAGGAAGGGAGGGCTGAGAGCACCGACGAGGCAAAGGTAGAGGGGGAGAGGGAGCGAAGGTTACGGCGGACAACTTTTTCTGGCATGAAGCTCTGTGGCCATAGGTGTGGATTTCAAAATAATATTATTACTACACACCAGCCAAGATCTGTTTGGAAAAAGAACAATTTTGATTAAAGCAGGAACTGAACAGTTGTATTCCGCCCGTCTATCCTTCTTTGCAGATTTTTGTAACGGCAAGCCTGGAGGTGAATGAAACCCAGCAGCAGCATCCGACCAACGTCTACCACGACATTGGAGTCACCAGGAACAAGATAGTGACAGCACAGTTTGAGTGCTACCAGAAGATAATGAAGGACGATCCCCAGGAAAGAGAAGGTATGCTTCATGTTTCTGAACTGAAGCTGTGGAGTTGGAATACGCTGATCGTAGTAAATCTAAGCTAATACCTTGTAGCATCTCAGCTAAAGATGGAAAATACATACTTCATTGATCCCCAAGGGGATATTCAGTTTTACTTTGTTGTTGATATACAGTTAAAGTTAAAATGCACAATCAGGACTACTACTAATTCAGAAATACACAGATGCAAAAGCAACGACCAAGCATCTTGTTCCAAAGCCAGACCCCTACAGACTAAGCTAGCTAGTAACATTTGTTGAACTCATTTGTATTAGTTATATACTTCAACATTCTTGCTGACACACATTTAACACATTAAACACCTTTGTCCTTGGTTGTAGAGCCCGTGTGTAACCGCACCTGGGATGGCTGGATGTGTTGGGACGACACCACTGCGGGGGCTAACTCGGAGCAGCACTGCCCCGACTACTTCCAGGATTTTGATCCTTCAGGTAAGATATGTGGCCTACAGTAGCACTAAAGGGGCATTTACACCAAGCTTCTTTGGTATAAATTCAGAAAGAACACGATATACCTTCTTTTTTTTGTATGGAAAAATGCAAATATTCCAAGCGGAGAAAGCTTGGTCTGTATCCGGTGTTAACTTTCACCCGCTGGCAAGCACCCCAACCCCTATCGAGGTCATTGCTTTTGATTTCCTTGATTCGAGGAAGAGGAGTTAACTGTGAAAGTTGTGCCTACAAACTGCTTCTAAAAAATCCTATTCACTTTGTGCTTACAGTGGTTGTCCAGTGCTTTAGTATTGCACTTCCATAAAGTTGTGGAAAATAACAAATATAGATTGATGATCAGAAATGTAAACAGCCAAAGTGATGATATCCTTACCCTCACTTTGGGTTTATATCCTACATCAGGGTTTTTTAAAGTGTTGGAAGGTGAGCCTCCCCCCAGAGAACATAAGAACAGCCGCACCCCCCCTCCCAATTATTATTATTATTATTATTATTATTATTGTTGTTGTTGCTATAATGCATTCAATTGCATTTCAAAGAGGTCCAGTAAGAGAAAATGTAATTAAATGCTCTGTTTTCGCTGTCAACCTTTCTCTTTTTTGAGCACGCCATTTGAAATTACTCCGACTGTTTCTCTCTTCTTGTCTCGTCTCTGTTGCCCCTTTCACACCAGCGCTTTTTCAGCTCCGGCTCGGAGCTGGAGCCTGAAAAGCGCCGGTTTTTCCTGTTCACACCGCAGCGGCGCCGGCTCTTAGCTCCGGAATCGGGTTCACTTCCAGCTCCAAAAAATTGTCGGTCTAGAGGCAAGAGCTTCGGAGCTAAGGGGTGGCGTCGCTTACGTCTCTCTTACGTCGAGGCGTGCAGGAAACTAAACCCACCTCCCCTGAACATGGGTCGACTGTCATGCCTGCCTACAAGCAGTAGTGCTTGTAAACACACTTTATAAAGTCAGGCAACACTAACCAGGCTTCGTGTGATTCTGTTTATTTGTACCTTACTTTGACCATCCGTTCACTGTTATTGATCATTGTGGAGAGAGGCAGACGTGTTGTTTTGTATTATAGCAGCTATCGGATGGAATCAATACATGGGCTGCACAGGTTGTCGTGTCCGACTATCACAAGTAGAATCATAATAAAAATACGCCGGTAAAATGTGCGTGTAGAAAACGGTTTATGCCACAATAGGATAGCAATAGCAAGTAGTCAGTTTAGCTTCGGTTGCTATGCTAACATCACCCATTTTATACCAGAGAAACTTTCATAACAGCGTTGTGATACCAAACAGCGTCAATTCAGACTGACACACATTCACTTAGGCTAAGGGGAACTGGGGATATGTATCAGCTGCTTGTGTGAGTCGGACAGTGAATACTTTAGAGCGGCCGCTGCAGTGTGAGCTAACCGGGAGCTAACGGGAGAATAAACTCCCGTGGAAGAGCAGCCAACACTGTAGCGGTCGGTAAATGCTGCAGAAACACATTAATAAACAATGAACCACGGCACTCTGGAGCAAAGTATAAGGTTGGAGAAGTCGTTATTCAATTTAATCTGGCTTCGTGTGATTAAAAGCAACACGATCATCGACCCGACGCAGTTCCCCGTTGTTGTTGTGAGCGCCGTAATGCCGTTGGGGAGCAAATCAGCGATGTAAACGGTGACGTCATGACGCAGCAGCGGCAGCACCAGTCGGGCTCTGGGCGGTGTGAACAGAGCGGGAGCAGAAAAGGGAAACCGGAGCTGAACCAGAAAAGCTCTAGCTCGGAGCTAGAAAGGGAAAAACGCTGGTGTGAAAGCCGCATGAGTGTGTGTTTGAATCTATCGTGCTGACTCACTGACTGTACCGATTTGATTGGCTGAGTAGCGTCACCTCCTTAAAACATAAACCTTTTTATCTTTATGTTTTAAACATTTTTTTAAAACATTTATTTAAAACACTTAACATTTTCAACATCGTGGATACATCCTTATATGCTCCCGGCAACACACTGAACGTCAACTTTGCCTCCTTATTACACTCACCCCTACTTTAGTGGGAACAATGAGTCTGCGTCTTTAATGAGCACAGGCGGATGATGCGGGGATGCTATGTAGACAGGAACTAGAAAACCCAACATAATGTATAGCCTCAATGTCCTGAAATAGCTGAATAATGTAATAGTTGAATGGTTTCTGTAGCTGAAAGTAGGCTGAAGGAGTTAGATATTAAATATAAGTAATAGTGAATGAATGTTATCAAACACCTGTGTGTGTGTAAGCCCGGAGATCAAAGGTTACCATGGTGACAACGTTATCAAACACCTGTGTACGTGGGCCCAGAGATCAAAGGTTTCCATGGAGATGTGCTGTGAAAGGAGAGCCTTTCCATTGTTCTGAATGAGAGAGCGACGGAGTCTGCTTTTTGTGGACTTTCTGGTCAATAATGTAGCCTTTTTGGCAGATTTACTAAAGGTGTGAATTTACAATGGGCCTTAATGGAGACATGTTGAACGTGTTTGTCACTTCATGCCCTCAAGAGGCATTTTGTTTAATTGTTTTGCTTTTTTTCCTACGTTTTTCATAAAAAATGATGTCCAAGGAGTGTAGGGTTTGTGAGCTATGGCAGGTTTAAGACATTTCTTTGGGCGAATTTCAAGCTCTCCTCCACTCTGTTTTGAGATCAAAGCACTCTAGACTTAAAGAGCTGCGCAATACACACTAATGTTAAAATCTGAAGAAGGCCTCTTTACCAAGCTCCAAACTAAGTTAAATATCTCAAAAAGTGTAAAACATATATAAAAATCTGAAGAATAAGTTTTATAGCTTAAAGTTGGAATGAAGTCTCTAGCTGAAAGTATGTGGAAGGAGAAGCATTTGGCACACGGTGTAGGTAAAAGAGGATTTGAAGGTTCCTCCCATTGACTTCCATGTTAAAAAAAGAGTTTAAAAAGCTGAATATTTCAAAAAGTATAAAATATTTTGAAAAAGTTTAAAGTATCCCATCATGTGCTGAAAAAATTACCATTAAATATAAGGCTTTACTTATAAGTACATACAGTCAGTAGCAATTCTACTGCTTGTGTTTGTTATACTTAAAGTTTCATTAAAAAAGCATCGTTTTTTTATGCAAGCTTTTTCTGTGTGCATGCATGTGTTCGTTTTATTGTTAGAAGATTCTGAGCCAAAGCTTCAGTACAGCACTCCCTTCATCAGATATGCAGATGCATGATTCGATTCAGGTCCTCTGATCATGGCTGTCTGTGTTTAATCTGATGAATGCCTGGTAATCTGTCCAATGGAATTTCTACACAGCCTTCATATGTTTGTTTCATGTTTACCTGCAGAGATGGTGAATAAGATCTGCACAGACAGCGGTATCTGGTTCCTGCACCCAGAGAGCAACCGGACATGGACCAACTACACCCGCTGCACCGAGCACACCAACGAAGGCAGAGTGGTAGGTCTTTTTATGAAACTGTATTAAACGCAATCAGATTACACAAATACATATGGTTGGCACTGACATTTAAACAGATCTGTTTTGGTATATTTTTAAGAAGAAAACGGGCAACTTTATACATTTAACTCTGTTATTGCCTATTTTACGGCATCAGGGAGCTGTTGGGGGTTTGATGCCTTACTTAAAGGTCACCTATTATGTAAAATCCACTTTTTCATGTCTTTTAAACATGTGTCCCATCGGAACAAAGAACCCCTCTCTTTTTGTCCTGATCCATTTCTATAAAAACCTGTCTGAAAATGAGCTGATCAGATTTTGGTCACTTTATGATGTCATAACGATTTGTTGGCTCGTGTAACCATTAGCCAATCACCAACCAAGGTAACCCCCCCCCCACCTTCTCACCTGAATCTCCTCCTAGAGCACCATTGTATTTTTTCTAACCAAATATCTCTCAGAGGGGCGTGGCTCCTTATTTTCATCTAAAGTAACAGACAGAGGCTGCTTCTCACTTCTCTTATTTTTCATTTCCTCGCTCCTCGCTCCTCGATATCACCGGAAGCTGATTTGTCTGCGCCATCTTGATGTTTTTCTGCTATTTTGAATAAGTGTTAAAAAACCTTTCTTCATGAGACTGATATTATTGGAGTACTTTAAGAGGAAATGGTAGACATGATATCAGCAATACTTCCAGTCAGCATTTGTACCCCTTGGAAAGTCTTTAGATCAGGGGTCTCCAACACGTCGATCTTTTTCAGTAGTTCGCCGCTCGCTGTAGAAAAAATCCGACAACAATAAATGCACCTGAATCAGTCCGTTTTGGTGGATTTAATCAAGTCTTGGAATGCAGAGTATGAATGTCCTCTTACTATTTTCAGTTGATAAATACTTGTGTAAAGTTTGTGAAGGCAGGAGGAAAAAAGCTTCCGCGATCACCGGCTCCTCTGTTCCTCCAAACCCCGCCCCCTCCCTGAAAATAATGAGTGACAGGCTGATAGTGACCGGATAGAAACGTTATTATTCACTTTATCACTGATTGAGATATGATGAAGCTAACTTAATCTCATACATGGGATTTATGCAACAGTAAGACAGAGAATGTGAGTGTGCACCCACATGCACTATTTTAGTTTTTACATGCTGTTGTAAATACTCCTGTTGTCTGCTGTGTTCAGACTTAAGTCATGTGATGCCACATTCAGGACATTCAGTGTCCTTTGTTTGAGCAGAAGACCGTTGCTAGAAGCTGCAGCTAGACTGCAGAAGTATTAGTTTTTTGTTTTTGAGGATGGAACAATTGCATACACAGATATAGGGAGGCCTATACAATTTGATTTATTATGGTTTATAAATGAATGTCAAGACGAAGAAGAAAAAGATGGCTGAACTGTTCAGTGTCAATCCTGTGAAGATGGAGATGGAGGTTATAAATCTCCAAAATAATGTTCAGCTTAAGTCTCAGCAAAACTCACAACATTTCTGGAGCCTTGTAGACCCAGAAAACTATAAGAACATCACCAAGCAGCACTGAACATGTCTGCTTTATTTGGCTCTACAGACCTTTGTGAAGCAGCTTTTTCTGACATGAATATCATGAAATCTAAATACAGAACAAGACTGAGTGATGAACATTTAAATGACTCTGTTAGAGTGAACCTAAGTGAGTACATATGGAGCTATTTCAGGGTCATAAGTTTTGATCATTCAAAAAAATACAGTTTATTTAAAAGTTCAAGTTTTTATCCTGAGCTTTGAAAAATACAATGATGTATTCAAAATAAAAATAAGTATTTCAAATAATATTTCCTATAATAATATTTTATTCCAAAAAATTGCTGAACTGAATCAAAACAATATTCAACCTGAAAAATGATTTCAAATACTTATTTTTATTTTGAATACATCATCAAACGGACGTCGCTTCATGTGACGCTCCGGAGGAAAGGACGTTCCATTGCTCTTAAAATGCTTCCCTGGTGGGAGGGACTAAGACGCAAGGAAAAGACGGAAGTGAAGGACGCAAGGATTGCATTTAAGAGAAGTGAGATGCAGCCAGAGAATCAACCCTTTTGAAACGGAGGGGATTATGGGATGCTGCAATGATCTGTTTGGTATTTCGAGCCGAATACTTCAGAGACATGTTTTGTATATATCTGAGAACTATAATATATTGATGACAAACAGTATAATAGGGAACCTTGGCAATGCTCAGGAGATAAACTTGCAGCACGACATGTGTACTTTTTGTCCTATCGGGACTTGAACCTGCGACCCTTTGATTCCCAAGCCAAGTCCCTACAGACTGCTGCTGCTGCTGCCTCCGATATTTGTTTGAGTGAAATGTAATAAAATAATGATGTATTGAAGTTTAAAATGTGCAGTTTGTCCCGAGGGAGGAAACAAATCGTGTGTACTTTGAAGGCATTAAAGAAAATTGAAAAAATGTATCCTCTGGGGAAGCCTCTGGGGAAGCCTCTGGGTCCCATGGAAATTGTAATGGCAATCGACTCATTTGTGCATGAGTAGTGCCTCGATGGAACGTTTGGGCGAAAGGCACTGATAGAAGAAAGGTCAGGGGGTTAAAACGTCCCAATTAATCATCTGGAGATTATGATTATTCACAGCAAATGGAAATCTGGCCATTGACGTATATATTGTGCCTCAGTATGGACCAAAGTGAGGATTAATGGGAACTGTTGCTCAATGGGACTGCACAATACATTCATCATTGTTACTTCATTCTCTGGCGACACAATATAGCCGTTACTCTTTGACATTTCATAAACTTAATTCACACTTTAACATGATTTCATGGTCATCCCTCCATACATTAGGGGTTTACTGTAGGAGTAAAGGATATGGGTTCTCTTCAACAGCATATTAATATTGCCTCACAACATGATTAGTCATTAGCAGATAATCTAATCCATGTCTCTTTTTTCCTTCCAGACGGCCATGAATCTCTTCTACTTGGCTCTCATAGGACATGGCCTGTCCCTGACCTCGCTCTTCGTCTCCCTGGGGATATTCTTCCATTTCAAGTGAGTCACCAAATATATTCCTACCATGCTTTGTACGCAGATATGTCCTACTGAGTGCATGACTTTATAGCTCCATGATATAATGTCTCCTTTCTCTTCTTGCAGGAGTTTGAGTTGCCAAAGGATCACGCTTCACAAAAACCTCTTCTTCTCTTTTGTTCTGAACTCTGTCATCACCATGATTTGGTTGACAGGAGTGGCAAACAACCAGGAGCTGGTGCAGAGGAATCCAGTAAGTTCATGTATTTATGTTTATATTTTACATTATAAATCATCTACTTTTTTTTTACATCCAACATTTGTACCTATTTGGTTTGAGCTGTTCCTTTTTGTGACCATTGTTTCAGTATTTAAACATACATTTATTATAGCGTCAGGAGATTGAGTTATTCATTTCATATCCGAGCCCCCAACAGTTTCAGGATATTTTTGTTTTCTTCCTGTCAGATTGTTCTCACTGTGGCCTCATTCTTCACTGCAATACACCTTAATAAAGACGGCACAACCATGGCTAGAAATAGAGAAACAAGAAAAAGCATTCTCTGCAGTTAAACAAAAATACGCAAACTTCTTTGGTCATTTATTTTAAACAAATATGGTTAAGTGGAATCCATATAGAACATTTTGTGTGCCCACAATTATTAATTACATATTACTCCACATGCTAAACATATTGACTGTCAATATTTGTACTACTTAAAACCACTTATGTCCTGTCCTTATGTCAAATAATTATTAGATTTTTTTGACACATGACTATTCGTATGAGTCAAATCAATCAAAGCTTCTCAATTGTCTTAACAAAATGCAGAATTTAATGTTTTTTACAGTATCTTTTTAGTGTGAAGTGTTGATTTCTGGCAGAATATTAAATAAGACATATAGAATAAAGTGATTTTAATTAAAAATATCCCTGTTTTAAGCATGCATTTTTTTCCCTTTTCTGTTCAAGGAACGTTGAAAAGTTGAAAATCAGTTATATAGCTATGATAAATAGTGTAATTTTGCCAAATAAAAAAGTTAAGAAATATGCTTTTCATACCTTCAGGCTTGTTTGTTTCAAAGGGTTTACTGCTCAGGGAAAAAACGGAAGCTGAGTTAAACGGCCGCTCTCACATTAATTATGTGTATGTGATTTTCCTCCTCAGACGAGCTGTAAAGTGTCCCAGTTCATTCACCTGTACCTGTTTGCCTGCAATTACTTCTGGATGCTGTGTGAGGGGATTTACCTGCACACTCTCATCGTGGTGGCAGTGTTCGCAGAGAAGCAGCACCTCATGTGGTATTATCTCCTGGGCTGGGGTAAGTCAGCATAATGAGTTGTCATTGATAGGCACTCACTCTGCTGGGGGAAAGAGTCTGTTTTTTATTGGGTTATGTTGTAGTCAGTCTCCTATTCCGGTTTGATAGAACAGAGAAATAAGGTTTTGTTTACCTACTTATGGCTTGAAGGGCATTTTAAGTACATGATTAGTATAACAAGTTGTCTCAGTCCAGAATGATACACTTACTTAAGTGTTATTGCAAGGTCTATTAGCCTTAACTGCAACTCTAATTCACTTTAGATGTTTTATTTTGCAGGTTTTCCTCTTATTCCAGCTACCATACATGCCGTTGCTCGGAGTTACTACTACAACGACAAGTAAGCATCCAAGTACATGATTGATAATTTGTACTATAACAGATTATAATAATAAAGTAAAAATAGACTAAATGAATGCCACACAATAATTATTTTTAAATGTTTAATTAACATGTTGCATATTGTAGTACAATGTGCACATTTTTACTTTAACTTCTTGTTTTTTATAAATATTTATTAATAATTTGTTATCTATCTTTTATTGCACATTTTATTTGAACTTATTGTGTTTATAAACCTATCTGTATGTTATTTTATATTGTTATTGTACATTCTTACTTTAATTTCTTATGTTTTTACATACTCATTCTATTTTTACATTTTAAACGTTATTATCTATTTAATTCTTAACCCTCCTATTGTCTTCGTTCCCCCCCCCTTACTTTGGTGTTCTCGGTCAAATTTGACCGGTCCTGTTTTAACTGCTATTACATTAACCTGTTAAGCCCCAAAGACCCCTTCGGCCGGGTCTTTTTTTTTTTTTTTTTTCACGACACTGTGTCTCAGGGCATCTTAATATTTAAAAACCTATTCATGTGTTACCAGATTAATGGGAATAATCTCAGCTAACTGATAATACAAACCATTTTTACCAAAGCAAAACACAAGTCTTATAAGAAGCATCTAAATGACCCCTGAGCGAAAAAATGCTAACGCACTTTGGCACAGAACTCAAGATAAAGATACCCTTATTACTTATCGTAACTACACATACAAGATATCCGATTAAAGCTGAGGTTCCACAGATTATTTAGGTATATCTATCATCAGTGAATTATCCAAACTGGCGACACGGGAAGCAAACACAGACATCACAACACGTAGCATTATGGAGCAAAAACGGGACATCGTCTCACTTTAGCTGTTATTCTGATCAAAAGTCGTGTTCAATTGCATTTTAAACGAGAAAAAACGCAGCTGAGGGTTAATCCATAGGTAAATTGAATGTGTCTGTCACAAAAAATTATTTATAATCCATAATTCCATTTTTATGTAAAAATCGGAGAGTAAAAGTTTGCTGCTAATGGTAGCCACCAGAGTTATCGCAGCTTCCGGTTTTGGCTATGTGTCACGCTCACTCCTTATTTGCTAACATGTGTGTGTATGTGGGAGTTCCCCTCAATTCCATTGGCTCTAGCGGTTAACAAGAGATGTTAATCATCAACATCGACCAAGGGGGGCCAGAGATATGGAAAATCCACCCAAATGACCCCAGAAGTGTTTTTTTTTGTTGCTAAATCTCTCTTAAAAAGGTCAAATTTCACTTGTGTTGCATCAATCTTCATACAGGTTACTTATTATATATTTTAGTTTGGATTCCTAAAGCTTTTAATCTACCATCCCATCATTCAAGGGCGGTTTTCACTATAAGTAATAATTTGTTTTTGGACGGACACTATAATTTACATTTTTTTACTGTGTTCAATCTCAATTTACTTTAAAATAAAAACAGCTATATTGATTCTGACACTTCTACATCCAACTCACAGGTGTAACCTTGCTTTGAGAAAAAAGATTATTCATTTAACCCTTTTAGAATGGAAGATAATGGTCATTTGTTCTGGAAATGTCATTTTCGAGCCTGAGACCTGAAAAACAGGCTCAGGGCTTAACAAAAACCATGAATCATCACCAAATTTCATTTAACACCCTTTCAAACTGTAAATAGTGTATCAGACTACGGGTATACATGAAAAACTGCATTACATATACAAAGAATAGACACTGAACATGTATTGTGTGTGCCAGGTGTGATTCACATGGGGGGGATTGGGCACATAAGGGGGGGGGGGGGGGCACATCTAGAGTATGTGTGTGTGGGTGTTCGTGTGTTTTATCTGATCCAGATGGTTACTAATTCCTTTTCTTTATGGCTGTCATTTTTGACCGCCATTTTGTTACAAAGTTGACTAAATCATCCGAAATTCAATGAAAGTGGTGGTCAGCAATTTGATATGTTCAAATGTCTACTGTGAAGGATATCATAAAGCCTTAATGCAATTGAATCTAAAACAAAAAAGTTATGATTGATGAAAGTAGTAAATCTGTCAGATTTGACCCGAAGGCAACAGGATGGAGCAAATGCCAAGTAACAAATTTAAATAAACTGTTTCTAATTCTGCTCCTGAAAAATCATAGAAACCAGTTAGAAAACTGTCTCAAATGTGAAATGCAGAAGATTAACGCAGCTTAATTTCAGAATAATAATAATGAAATGTTATGTATATACATTATTAAAATGATTATTTGATGTTTATCCGCACCTGGCAGAGTTCAACAAAGCATTCAACCTTGCTGATGGCTTCTTTAATCAATCCCCCCGCTGAGCTGTTGATGCTAATTAATTTCTCGTAAAACCCATTGATCTGCATCGTGGGTCGGCGGTCATGTGATGCAATAACACTGTTGGGTAAACATTTCTCTGGCATCCTCTCTTCTCTGTAGCTGTTGGATCAGCTCCAAAACATCGCTACTCTACATCATCCATGGCCCCATCTGTGCAGCTCTCTTGGTAAGACTTCACTATTTTCCCTCAAACCAATCAATTACAGTAGAGTCAAACACAATAACAACATTGTGTTCCATTCTTCTCTTTGTTTAATAGCGCAACAAAAATAATAAGTCTGTTTTGCCTCTTTCTGAGTGAACTCTGTGGGTGGCCTGAAACCAGAACACGGTTTCATATCATGCGTAAATACGCTGATCTTGCTAAATCAATGCATCTGCCCCTGTGAGGATCCACCCAATGGTCTTCTGGCCGAAGTTGCATTCTAGGAATTCAACTAAACAGAAGAGCCAGGCACGCTTCAGAGAAAAGTGCTCCCTGAAGACTCTCGTAGGACTAAATGTCCAGTTCTGAAACCTTTTACAGAAACTTGGCCGACAAATGTCTTGGTGTTGTTTTGTTCATGATGGAACATTCTGTATTTGCTTAAACCTTACACGTACTGACCAGTTGAGACATGAACCACATGGGCAGTTGTCCATGGGCAAGATAACATGTAATGTAATGTAATGTAATGTCTTGAGACAAAAGCTGATTGGTTTTGAGATTGCAATGTGTTCCGCTTTTTTGCTTTCTACATGGACTCCTTACTTGCATACAACCAAAGCCCAATGAAATGTGACCAGATACGTACGACATTTGGTCAATACTTCTTGACTACAAATGGAAACCAAAATGCTTCCAATACCAAAATGTTGTCGCATTGCCAAATGCAGATTCCGCAGATTAGTCTTTAACAGCAGCTATTAGCCAGAATATTCTGCTGATGTATTGATGTCCTCTCTGCTGCTTTCCGCCTCTAGGTCAATTTGTTCTTTCTGCTCAACATTGTGCGAGTCCTCATCACCAAACTGAAGGTGACCCATCAAGCGGAGTCTAGTCTCTACATGAAAGCCGTGAGAGCCACCCTCATCCTGGTGCCTCTGCTGGGGATTCAGTATGTCCTGTTTCCCTACAAGCCCGAGGGACGGGTCTCCTCCGAAATATACGACTACATCATGCACATACTAATGCATTACCAGGTGAGACGATGGTCAAATGGTCAAAGGCTTGAGGTCCAAGGAATTTTTCCATGTAAAAGAATACATAAATAACTGTATGTTAGTTCATGCTTGTCAACTGCATGTCCAGAGTATATTTTTTGAATCAGAATCAGAAATGGGTTTATTGCCAGGTAGGTTCACACATACGAGGAATTTGACTTGATGTCATGGTGCATACATAAAATATAAAACGAAGAATCTCCATATAAAACAAGAAATGTTTAAGGACACTGTATATAAAATATAGTTAAATAGCAATACAATAAAACAGTAATTTACAGCGAAATGGAATGCAATGAGTTATAGAATATGAAATAAGACTATGTGCAGTAAGCAGTATTTGAACATTGTGTGCATTAATGTAATGCATATAGAGTCTACGTTGTGTCAGTGGGGGGGCCGGGCCTTGTTTAAGAGGCCGGTAGCAGAGGGGAAGAAACTGTTCAGGTAGTGAGAGGTTTTGGTCCCGATGGAGCGCAGCCTCCTGCTAGAGGGGAGGGGGGTGAACAGTTTGTGTCCAGGGTGGCAGGGATCGGCCACTATCTTCCCTGCCCGCCTCAGGGTTCTGGAGGAGTGCAGGTCGTGGAGGGATGGCAGATTACAGCGGGTCACCTTCTCTGCAGAGCGGATGACACGCTGCAGCCTGCCCTTATCCTTGGCTGTGGCTGCAGCGTACCAGATGGTGATGGAGGAGGTGAGGATGGACTCGAACATGGAGGTGTAGAAGTTCACCATCATTGTCTTTGGCAGGTTGAATGTCTTCAGCTGCCTCAGGAAGAACATCCTCTGCTGGGCTTTTTTGATGAGGGAGCAGATGTTCTGCTCCCGTTTGAGGTCCTGGGCGATGATGGTGCCCAGGAAGCGGAAAGACTCCACAGCAGTGACTGGGGAGTCACACAGAGTGATGGGGGCGGGTGGGACTGTGTTCTTCCTAAAGTCCACAACCAGCTCCACTGTCTTGAGAGTGTTGAGCTCCAGGTGGTTGTCCCTGCAGCAGGTCACCAGATGGTCCATTTCCCACCTGTAGGCAGACTCGTCCCCACCAGAGATGAGTCCGATGAGGGTGGTGTCGTCTGTGAACTTCAGGAGCTTGACAGACTGCTGACTGGAGGTGCAGCTGTTGGTGTACAGGGAGAAGAGCAGAGGGGAAAGAACGCAACCTTGAGGGGAACCGGTGCTGATGGTCCGGGGGTCAGAGACCTGTTTCCCCAGCCTCGCGTGCTGCTTCCTGTCAGGCAGGAAGTCTGTGATCCACCTGCAGGTGGAGTCGGGCACGTGCAGCTGGGAGAGCTTGTCTTGCAGCAGAGCCGGGATGATCGTGTTGAAGGCGGAGCTGAATTCCACAAACAGGATCCTGGCGGAGGTTCCTGCTGTGTCCAGGTGCTGGAGGAGGAAGTGAAGGGCCATGTTGACAGCGTCGTCCACAAACCTGTTGGCTCTGTATGCGAACTGCAGGGGGTCCAGGAGGGGGTCTGTGATGGGTTTTAGGTGGGACAGGACAAGGCGCTCAAAGGACTTCATAACCACAGAGGTCAGGGCGACGGGTCTGTAGTCATTTAATCCTGTGATCCTTGTTTTCTTGGTAACCGGGATGATGGTGGAGATTTTTAAGCATGCTGGGACGTGGCATGTCTCCAGTGAGGTGTTGAAGATGTCTGTAAACACCGGAGACAGCTGATCAGCACAGAGCTTCAGGGTGGAGGGGGAGACATTGTCAGCGCCAGCCGCTTTTCTGCTATTGAATTTTCTAAAAAGTCTGTTCCCCTTTCATTGATTGAGAGAGAATTTGATGTGTCGGGGGAGGTCAGTGGTGTAGGAGAGTGGGACACTGAAGGGGAGGGGGAAGTGGAGGTTTGAGACTGAGACCCCGTTTACATGGAGATGGTTCGTGTTTATCTGCTACTTTTCTCTTTCGTGTAGCCCGTTCGTCCACACGAGGCCGTAACGGAACCACGGAAACGGACCCCTCGAACGATAACGGGTCCCAAGGTGGGTAGATCTGCGGACGGAACGCTCTGGGGGGCCTAACGGCTCCATGTGTACGTCCTATACCATAGTTCAGTAACAGGCGGACCGCGGTCCGTATCCGGACCAAGACGCCGACCTATACGGACCCGGACCTATAATCAATACATTAATAGGGGATTTACATTTTGACGAGGCGATTCTATTTTAACTGCCGCCGACAGGGGGCGAAAGAGACAAGTGAGCGATACAGGGAGAGAAACACAGAAGATGAGAGAGCGGCAGAGAGAAGCGGAGAGGAAAGTGAGTGAAGAGAATAATTAGCGATACAGGGAGAGAAGACGGAGAGGAGAGTGAACAGGCGTGTTAGCGGCAGACAGTGAGAGACAAATAATTACACATGGTGCTCTCCAAGAAGAGGAAAGTGGACAGTGAGAACAGAGCTTTTAACCCTGAGTGGACTCATTCATGTTCATCTTGCTGGGAGCACAGAACCAGTGTGTCTCGTTTGTTCAGAGACCGTGGCGCTCATTAAAAGTGCCAAAACGCCACTATGAGACAAAACACAAAGTGTTTGACCAAACATTCCCTCTCAAGTCAGAACTGAGGTCATAAAAAATAAGCAGTCTCAGAGCCCAATATGATCAGTCGACCAGGATCAACATTAAAACTAAATATCGTTCCAGCGCAGGCTAACCGAGGCTAACCAATGAGCACCTGCATGTGTGTATGAGAATGGCCCTGACACCATTTCAGCCCAGATTTAAACTCCTGGCAGGACAAGCTCCAGCTCAATTCTCGCACTGAAATAAAAAAAGTGAGTGATGGACTGCAATATAAGAGGGAAAGAAAGAGACACTTTAAAACTGTTCAATTGTTATGATGTGTAAAGACTGATATTGTTCTATAATCGGCTGAAACTGTTAAGTCATGATGTGAAACGGTTAACAAAGAAAAAGGGAAACTCAAGCTGCTGCTACACTTTATTTTATTTATCTAAAATTAAGCACTTTTAAGATGCACACATTTTCAAAAGCTATTTGATTTATTTTTAAATGCAGCCCGAGAGGAACATTACACATATCCACAGTATTTTACAGTATATCTGTATAGTTCAATGTTAATTGACAATAAATATTGTTGTTTTTGAATTGTACTTTCTTTATTTGATTAGCAGTCAGTTGTTGATTACATGCAGAAATTGATAAAGCTGCAGGCTACTTCAATATATATCACACTAATTCATAGAGGAACTTAGACATTTTGATGTTCCGGACCTTTGCATGGGGAGATTTTCTCTAACAGGACCTCATTGAATTTTAGTTGAATACCCCTGTCCTATACGATCATTTCCTGATAACGATGAAGCCATAGCCCCACCTCTCCTGCTCACTGCTGTAGTATGGTCAGTAGCTACTGCTACTGACCATACTACAGATGTTAGTGCAAATTACCGCAGAGCATAAACAGAAGGGCAACAATGGCAACCATGCTCGGGGGGTCTTCTTTGCTGCTTTTGGTGTATTTTGTGGCGGAAGTACAGCGCCACTTACAGGCCCGGCATATGTACTACAGCGTCTCCAGCGGGTCGAGCTGTCTTGTGTGGACGGACACGTTTCTTGAGCTGATACTGTGTGAACGGAAGACTTTTTTGATATCGAATTCGGTTCGTTCTCCGTTTCGTCTCCATGTAAACGGGGTCTGAAGCTGTTGGCAGGTGTCATGGGGGATGGTGTCAGGACTGAAGTCTTTGTATTCAAATCTACAGTAGAACTGATTCAGATCGGCGTCGGTCATTCATGGAGAGTGATGCTTTTGGCTTGTAGTTTGTGATCTGTCTTAGACCACGCCAGACAGAAGCAGAGTCGTTTGCTGAGAGCTGGTGTTGGAGTCATACTTGCCAACCCTCCCGATTTTCGCGGGTGACTCCCGATTTCACTGCCCTCTCCCGGTTTCCTCCCGGGGTTATATTTCTCCCGAATTTCTCCCGATTTCTGACAAAATCAGATTTACTCACGACTGTTTCCACTCGGACTTTAGTACAGCTACACCGTGGTTTGGTTTCCATGGTAGCGCGTCTCTTTAGTAGCGCGCACAACTGAAAGTCTGAGAGGGAGAGGCAGATAGTCACAGAAAACTGAACAAGAATCGACAACTCGACCCTATGCTCACTCAATTCCTGTAAAAGACAGGTCCAGCCACACCAAGGATGGTGCTACAGGCTGCAATTTACAACTACAATAAGCATGTTAATGTTAATCTACAACTCCCCCCCCCCCCCGGTTTTGAAATGATTTCTGAGGTCTCAAGGTTGGCAAGTATGGTTGGAGTTTCTCAGAGTATTGTCTCGTTTAGCATCTCTCACCACCTTGCTAAATACGTACTTCGACTCGTGCCTTATCGCCACTCCTAAACGCCTCCTCCTTTTGCAATCTTAGCTGTTTCAGTTTAGGTGTGAACCAGGGCTTGTTGTTGTTGAAACTCACCATGGTGCGTGCTGGCACAGAAGCTGATGTATGACGTCACAGCCTCTGTATATACATCCAGACTTTGAGTAGCAGTCCTAAACATGTCCCAGTCAGTACAGTCCAAACACGCCTGAAGTTCCTCCATAGCTTTACTGCTCTACTTCCTGAATGTCCTCACTACAGATTTACACAGTTTGATTTTCTGCCTGTATGCAGGAATCAGGTGGACCATGGTCTCGTCAGAGTGGCCCAGTGCAGCGTGGGGGACGGCGTGGCTCCCTTGATGGTGGTGTAACAGTGATCCAAAATATTCCCCTCTCTGGTGGGGCATTTAATAAACTGTTTGTATTTTGGGAGTTCGTGGCTGAGGTTACCTTTGTTAAAGTCACCAAGAACAACAAATAGGCAGTCCTGATAAGCAGTAGCGTGGCGTGGGGGGAAATGTAGGGGAAGCCCATTTTTTGGGTCGGGCGGGTGGTCAATAACGTAACCAGAGGAGTGATTACAGCGCCCGGTATCGTTTGACACACATTTGTATCACACAGATGCAGGACTTGCACACGCCTGTTATCTAACCGAAAGGTCCGCACGCACTCTCCAGCTGAAACTCTCTCCTTATTAATTTAAGCATTGTACTTATTAATGTATGCAGACAATCACACAATCTATGTGATTTTTGGATTTACCGTGCCTCTCAATTGCCCGTGACAGGTTGGCAAGGTCGATGAATCCTGAAGTTGCCCAAGGATTGTTCAGGGAGCACGAATCCTTGTCAAAAAGAAGACATGGCCAGCAAAATAGACGCTGAAGTTTAGCGTTTCCAGTTAGCCACTCCGTGCGGACATAATTGTTCTCATTGAACATCCGATTCTCTCCCTTTTTCCTCTGTGTACACACAGCTCGAGTGTGGACATTGGCCTGTCATCTGATTTAATTTTTAGTTGCTGCTGTAGCGGAAGTTTAGTAAAGTTATGTTTGATTAAGTACGCCAAATCTCCACCTTCCATAATGCTTCATTTGCTTGATAATTTCTAACGGCGGTGATGACAGTATTAAAACTGATGTTGATGTGATTTGATTGGATGGCAGTGTCCAATCAAATCGCCAGCCGCCAGCCGCATCTGAAGGGAAGCAAGAGGCGGCTGGCTTCCCTTGGCAAGGTCCTGACCAATCACAGGTTGGCAGGGGCATCACGTGGGCCTCATCTGATTGGTCAATCCCTCCATTTTTTTTCACCAAAGGAAGCCAGATTCGGCTGGCCTCCTCTCGCAACAGAGAGTGCAATCTACTGTTTCACCATAACATCTAGAGGGGCGCTGTTTCACTCTTTGTAAAATACTCAATGAGAATGGGGGAGAGACGGGCCGGCAGCAACACACAGCAAAGGAGAATTATCGAAACAAAACAAAGTGTTTTTTATTTATTTATTTAAATTATAACTACAATCCGAAAAAACAGGGGAAGCCTGGCTTCCCTTGGCCTCCGGGAGAAAACGCCACTGCTGATAAGTCCTCTCCACACACAGTAGGCCTATCTGATCGGCAAGTGTGCGCTGTGCCTCCTGCACGTTCGCATGCGGTGGGATGTAAACACCGATCAGTTTGAATGAAGAAAACTTGCGGGGGGAATAGAAGGGTTTGCCGTTGATGATAACAGTTTCCAGAGTGGGAGAACAGTGCTGCAGAATCACTGTCACATCGTTACACCAGCCACTGTTAGTGTAAAAACATATTCCTCCACCTTTTGATTTGCCAGAGAGCTCCGTGTCACGATCCGCTCTGAGCAGCTGGAAGCCTCCCAGCTGCAGCGCCAAGTCCGGAGTCGATCCACACAGCCAGGTCTCAGTGAAGCACAAAACACAAGATGAAGAAAAGTCTCTGTTTCTACTAACCAGTAGCTGAAGCTCGTCCAGTTTATTGCTTATGGAACGCACGTTGGAGAGAAATATTCCGGGTAGCAGCGTGCAAAGTCCGCGGCTCCGGAGGCGCACGAGTGTCCCGGCCAGTTTCCCTCTCCTGTGGCGTTTCAGTGCTCGGATGCACGTGAGGGTACCTTTTACAAGAATATCCAATAATTCCACGGAAGAACAGATACAAGTGGGAAAGTAATCCGCTGAAGTTGTTTCTCTAATGTTTAGGAGCTCTTACCTGTTGAAAGAGTTTGGTGTACTGTATGTAAACTGAATTAACGCACAAGACAAAACAGAGCGCACCAAAACACCGAAGCAGCCATCTGCGGCGCCATCTTAGTTCCGAACATATTCAAGGTTTATTGTCCGCTGTACTGCAGTGTCCCTATGCTCTATTCATAAAGTCATGGTGTCCTTGCAACATGTATATCATTTATTATTAAACTTGGTTACATGTAAGTGGCTTACTCCTGCATTCCCGGAGACATATACTTGTTTTTTTGTTTACTAAATTAACTTTTGCCCGGGTATCCAGCATCTTAGCTTTCAGTAAAAAGTTGAGCATTCCTATCACAAGACTTTGTTTATGCTGTAGCGCAGGGAAGAACAGCAGGAAGGAAGGCATGAATTATCTGTTGAGTGTTGGTGAGGTGTTATCTGATCATTCTGAGCTGTCCCAGCATGGGCACTGCTGGGAAAACGTATTGAGCAACAAACCGAATCCGATAACAATAGTTACTTTGCAGAACCGTAGACCTTTAAATATCACCAGTGAATAGCTGACAGTCGAGGCTTCAGACCAGTTATTAAGGTGTGTATTTTCTCTAATTTTCATGTATATTTTCTAAATTTCAGGGTCTGCTGGTGGCCACCATCTTCTGCTTTTTCAACGGGGAAGTAAGATGTTTTTATTTATTTATTTAAACCTGCATGCACACATACTGTACATCCACACTCTTCCAAACTTCCCCTATGTGATCAGGGGCCTGTACTACGAAGCTGGTTCAACCTAACCTGGATATGTTTGAGTTAGCCGGTTGGCCTAATCCAAAACATACGCGCTCTCGCTAAACGGTACTACGACGCTGGTTATCAAGTGGATCGCTCAAGCCAGCCGTGTCCTATCTAGTTAGGTGCGCGTTCACATGAAAGGGGTGGTATTTGGAGCATTCGACCAATCACAAACATGGAGAAGCGCACTGACAGCGCAGCGTCATACTTCCTGAATGAAAAGTGAACAATAATATTAGTCAAATATGAAGACGTTAAACTTTAAACATCCATGACTTAAACTCTTTATCCAGGATAAAAGCCACAGAGCTGCACCTGCAAGGTGAATACAGCTGGTAACAGAACAAGTGTTTGAATGCGTACATTAACAGGTTTATGATATCACTGCCCCGGCTAAGACACGATCTGACTTTAATTACATTTGACTCGAGTGTTTCGTCAACTTAATGTGTTGCTTAAAATAATACTTCTGCATACAGTATGTGACACTGTGAGTGTTGCACGGCCAGATACGGCTCAGCTGACTCAGATAAGGACATATATGATACATTATGAAGTGATATGCCGCGGACTGTACTTAATGTTACTCTGATCCGGTTACTTGTGTTGTGGCATATATTTAAGTAAGCTTTCTTAACGCTAATGTTATAATAGTCAGATTGCTCTGAAGATGGAGGTGATATTCTATTAATGTTCACGTTCACACAGTCGGTGATTTTTGCCGGCCGTCTTTCCTGCGACGGCAGTTTTTCTGTATTTCCTTTCTCCTGTAATATGACTTGATCGCTTTAAACTCCGCACACTGAGCTCTGATTGGTCAGCAGGCGGTGCTTTCACTGAGTTGATCTCTTAGCCTGCAACCTAACCTGGTCCCGACCAGGTTAGCCGCTAAGCATCAATTACCATGGAGATCTAGCCCGCTAAAAAGAGAACCAGCTTCGTAGAACCGGAAAGCCGGAGTTTTCCCTGAATTCAGCCGGCTAAGCGAAAATCCTGCTTCGTAGTATACCCCCCTGGAATAGACAAGGCAACTTCCTCTGCATGACCCGCAGCAGGATGGTAAATTAGCAGAATGTCTTCGGGGCTTTGCCGGGGACTTAGCATTGTTTACTGTTGGAAAGCAGCCATAGATTTTACTCTTGATTGCTTTCAATTATTCACGTGATTGATCTGCTTACAGAATAGCTTGTTACGCCAGAAGTGAATATCTAAAGGGCCATTAAATAACGCCTTTACCCTGTTATTAGGTGTTAACATAAAATGGAGAAAAGCACCGCTTTATTTTACACTTAACTGCTTTGAATTTCTATTTAACATCTTATAACAATAAGCTTATTGTACGCTCAATAAGCTTATTGTAAACAGTGGCATTGACTTGTCTTTATATAGGAATTTAGGCACACAAAATAAATTGATATATGTCTTTGACTAAAATATATATTTGACAGCACTAAAGAGCCATATTGAAGATATGTTCAAGACAACAAGAGTCCAAGCACATCAAATGTATTTATGCATCCACATTTGTTTTAAAAGAACAAGTCTGCCTTATCAAAAACAAACAGTTTTACTAAGAATTAGTGCAAAAGCAGTTAACAATGACTGCACTCCAAAGTAATTACAATTCCTGAAGGAAAGGTTAATATTTGGAGAAATAGCTATTAGGCTAGCTTAGCACAAATCTGTGTATCATTAGGAAACCTCTACACTCATATTACCCTTGGAAACAAAGCAAATGTGTTTTTTTCCCCAACACATTTAACTTGTACTTTAGGTGCTTTACCCATAGTTGTATCTCAAATATGTATCCATTTCCATTACATATGAATTCTGGTTTCTCTGGTTAGGTCCAAGCAGTTCTTCGGAGGCATTGGAACCAGTACAACATCCAGTTTGGCAGCAGCATAGGGAACCACTCGGAAGCAATGCGTTCGGCCTCCTACACAGCCTCCTCCATCACAGAGGTACAGGGCTGCTACAGCATCGACGGCCACACAGAACACATGAACGGCAAAGGCTTCCACGACGCCGACGCCTCCATCTTGAAGTCAGACAGCCCCTTTGCCTGACAACATTCCCGTAACCCTGCCTACCCCACCCACAAGCCTAGAAATTGCAGCATGTTTGGAGAGACAACCAGAGAACTCACCTTTTCCTTTTGATACGAAGTCAGAAGCAATGTTTGAGGAAAAGGACACACTCTCACCCACCCAAAGGAAATTGTCCCCTCTCGGTCACACCGCTCTTTATCAGCATTGTACGGTGAGCTCAATACAACCACTCCTGCGCTTTGTGTACAAGTTGACACAGAACTGCTTCACTCGATCAAGATGCATTCTGATAATCACAATAACGTTGCGAACTTTCTGCCTGACAGAATTGTTTTAAAGTGGATGAACATTAACAGCTCGACCGTCCTTCGGGGAACATGTTGTGCACAAAAAGCCTTTGGTAACACTGTCAATTCTTATGACATGGTTAGTGCCAAACCAAGAAATCTTTGCCTGCCTCGTTTTTTTTTTTTCAATACAGAACCAGAACGAAGATAGGACGTCTAACAAGTGCATAATAATATATTAAAGCTATATTATATATTTCACATGTTAAACTTAATTTATCTGAACATATTATTGTTTGTTGAATAAATACCATACAGTATTTATTGAAGTTGATATGATATATTATTTTGGAAATTAATATGACTCATTGCTTCAGGCAGACGTTCAATGTATTTCTTGTTTGTTTCTGTGTGCAGTTAATGCAGATGATTTCCTGTAAACCACATATTAGGTTGTTATGTAACTTCTTAACACAATATTTTCACAGAGAAGCCGTCTTGATATCACATGTTCACCAATATTCATTACACTCGAATGTAACAGTGAAGTTTGAAGACGTGGCTCTGAACATATACTGTATGTACCACATTCCCATTCACTGCTGTCTTTAGCCTTACTGCTCTCAGATTACTTAAATATAACCACTAAATAAGCATTATGGGGTGTTCAGACTGAATGGTACTGTGTTAGAAATGCAGGAGGCTAACGGTAAGATAATGAAATACAAGTCAGGAAAGCAATTCTAAAGGAAAGGGTTGGATTTTCAAAGTCAATTTTTCAACATCAACTTACAAGGTAACTTAGGAACCGTAGCTATTGCACTGTATGTATGTATATTACATCCCATTCGTAACTTACTTAACTTATGTGCAGGATTTAAGTTAACAAAAACACCTATTGTCTTTTAAGGTTGTTAGCAAGCTAGAAGCTAATGTTGTTTATGCTAACGTTAAACAACATTATGCTAAGGTTGTTAGCACCAAGTAGCAGGAACATGCACCTGCGCAAAGTGAATTGGTCGATGCAGAGCGTCTCAAGGTAATGATGGATTGCATTGCAGCAAAATTATATATATGTTTTATATCTCATTCATATCAATTAGGTATATGCTAACTAGTGCTAGCGTCAGTCTGAACACATGCCTTAGTCAGAAGTGATATCCTCACCGTCTCTCAAGAAACTGCAAAACATAATACTGCAAAAAACATTCTTAAAAGCATTTAGCAAGCTGGCCAAACAGTTCTGCTGTCATTTCATCCTAAAACCTTCATGTACGTTTTGTTCATTTTAGAACCATTATAGGCTACTGCTGGGAACAGGATTCACTATCAGCTGATGTAAATCTCTTTGTAAGTCTAGTTTCTGAAAAGTTGAACATGTGAGAGTGACTGGCGTGTGTGCATGATTTATAAATGTACAGTATTTATGAGTACATTATACTCTGACGCATTCAAGCATAAAGCAACCGTCTTATGTGACAGTGTGTTGGACGTTGATAAAGACATTGTTTGTTCTACCTTTGGGTTTGAAAAAGGGAGGATGGGGAAGCGGTGGGATCTGTCTGCTCGTATTATTTACCATTTTTTGTAGAGTCATCACCTTTCCACTCTGCCTGTATTTGAAAGTGAAGAAAGAAAAGTAGCACTGCCTTCTGTGTAACTTATTAATGCCATATTATAACAGACGGAGACAATTAGTGTTAGTTTGATATGTAGAAACTCACATGCAACTTTCCAAACAGCATGTTTTCTTTACTATTTCAACGAGTGTTGAAGACAAACAATATATATCCTTCATAACAGTATTCCAAAAACAAGTATACATTTGTTTTACAGTCAGTTACTTTTATCTTTGGTGGATGAGTATTTTTGTAGATCATGAATTTCTCAATAATCTGAACGGTGAGGACTTATACGGTGGCCAACAGGTGCAAACGCGTTACAACAGCCCAAAACATTTCCATTGGGAGAAACGCGGCGCAGTTTAAAAAAACGGTGCACATACAAAAACATAAATGTGCTACAACACATGCAAATGAAGAAACAACTTCGCCAACACTAACAAACACAAAGCGCACTTGTTGACGTTTGGGGATTATAAAGTTGGCCAAATGTCACTGTCTTTGGAAACTCACCTAAAATGTAATTATTAAAGTCTTATTTTAACAATGTGATCAGATGATCCCTTCCGATTTTTTTGCGTATCTGCTATCTGCGTATTAAGCTAGCTAGCTACCGTAGATAACCCAATCATTTTGAATATTACTAACTTTGACGATAGTGACAGTTGGCCAACTTTATAAATCCCGAAAACCTCAACAAGTGCTCCGCTCCCAGCTGTGTGCATCACTTTTTAGGGTTCCCTGGTTTCCGTGTGATGTGACCCATTACAGCATTTTGTATTTGCAGCGCTTTTAGAAAATGCTGAACATGTTTCCTACAGTTGGCGAAGATGTTTCTTTATTATCATGTGTTTTGGCAGATGTGTTTTTATATTTGCATCGTTTTTGAAAGTGCAGTGCTTGTCTCCTAACAGGTTTTTTGGCCGTTCCAGTAACATATTTAAAAGAAAGTTCTATAGTATTTTGATATGTGAAAAAGTGTTATTGGATGCCAATGATAACGGGAGTGGGTTAATTACAGGATATATGCAGAGTATTCTTTAAAGCAAGGGTTCAGTATCACACATACATTTTGTACTTTGTAATGTCAGATCTGCAGGACAGTTTCTCTGTATAATTCTAAACTATACAACTTACATACGTCGATCACAGTGGAAGTCTTTATAGACCAAGTCATTTACCGTGTAGTGATGGTTTTATAGTAAATTAAACAGTATTTTCATCACAAACTAAGAGATTTCTGGAAAATGTAGTAACTATGTACCATTTAAGTTGTGTACTGTATATATGTGTGAAATATGTTCATATGACTCTCCAAAGGGTTTGTGAAGTCCGCTGGGACACTTTGGTGAAATGTTGTGAAGTATGACAAAAGCATTAATGGCAATGTCTGTCGTTTTTGTTTATACTGTACTGTATTTAACTTTGGCAGTCTTGACACATTGACTCCACACTGCTGTTTGAATGTAACTGGTTGTGTTTTATTCTCTGTGAAAAACATATATATACATATATATTTACGTACAAGGTGTCTTTTTATTATTTCACTGATTAGACAATGTTGCTTTCTGCATTTAATACAGTTTAGAACATCAACAACAACCATCATCAATTATTTAATTTTTTGGCTTAATTGTTTGTATTGACACACATGTTTAAATAAAAAGCACATATTTGACTTTCACTAGTTCCAGTATAGGTAGTTTTATGGTCAGTATAAGGGATTATGTTATCAAATATGTGCAATCATACAATTCCAGAACAGAAGTATGAATATAAGATAAAGTAAGGTTCAGAATTCAAAGCTTTTTTAGAAAAGTGGTTTTAAATGTCTTTGTGTCACTCCAAATTTCAGAAAATCCCCAATGTTTATGGGATTAATAGTGATACATCAAGCTATGAATCATTTATGGAAAAGCCTTTCTTTAAAAAAAACTGTTCAGAATAAGGATTCAACTTTAAGGTTTGTTTAATAGGTGGAGATTTGTGTTGATAGATATTTAAATAGTATTGTTCCATCTTGTACAATTATTAACATTTAGCAAGAAACTACAGATGAATTGGAAAAACAAATGGATATCAAAATACTAATTTGTATTTTGACTATTTTCTTTTTAGTAGTCTGAAAGAAGACATGTTATGGAGGCAACCAAAGAACGCAAAGTTGGCCAGTCCATACAAATTGTTTTCGCCTGAAGTGTATCAGCGTAACATCCTTCATATTTGTCTCATTGATTGCAAACAATATGAGTTAAGTGTCGAAGTATGGTCTTCCAAATCCTTTAGAACACGATGTAACTAATTTGACACCTCTGTGCCTGGTGGGGGGGTGTTGTAATAAGAAACATCTACTACACTGGAAAGAGTCCCCACAGCAACTGTCGAACACAAGCTTTATTTTGTAGAACGCCCAGGTCCCAAATATTTGTTGTTGTGAGAAGTGGAGAAAATATATATTAAAAACATGTAACAGCACAGTGTACAGTAAGTGTAAAGATACGTATAGTGTATGGCAGACATCTGATAACATGTCGTAAAATTGAATGTTTTAGATAGAGAACCCTAAAGTATAAATTCACTTTTTTTTTAATCAAATGAAATGGAAAAAATCTGCCTTCATCTGGATGATACCTCACTAATGGTTTGCATTTTTCTCGAACAACATAATAAGACAAGATATATAAACACATTTTCTTTGTGCAATGATTACTCAAGAAGTTGATGGATAGAGGTTGAATATGGACAGATATTATATTTGATATAGTTTAAATATGGTCTGATATAATATTTGCTTAGTGGAAATGTGTCTGATGCTCATTTATTGTCCTATTTTACTTCTCATCTTGGCCATTGATAACTATATATAGATCATAATGTGGGCTTGTTTTCATATGGAAATATCATGGTTTAAAGGGAAAAAATAAATAAAAGCAGTAATATCCTCAACAAATGTTGATTAAGGTATGTTTTCTAGTAAAACAAATACAAAAAGTATGACTTTTAGGATGAACACATGTTTGCAAATTCTGAATAGTTATGCCAATTATTGCAACATATGTCTGATGAATTATGTGATGACCTACACACATTTTCCAACCTTATCTAGATTACAAGTTTACAAAAGTGTTTTTCTGCATATAATTTATTTTCATAATTCACTCATTTAGATTTGGAAATAATGCCATACATTCTAAAGCAAAGCAGTGTGGGGCTTACCATTAACAATACATTATAGACACTATTCAGTTAATCAAATCCTGCTCTGAAAGTATACATTATTAATGCGGACCTCAGATTAGAGCGGTCCTCATGGTACATTTAGTGGTGTATTATTATTTATGAAATTAAAAGAAGCATTTATGCAGCACTGCTAGATTATGCAGCAGTATTTCATGTTGTTATTACCAACACACTCCATCCCCCATGCTCCAGAAACTGTACATCCATAAATAGATCCTAATGGTTTGTTTTGACGGTCTTTTGTTTTCAGTATACGCATTTAAACAAAGAAGTACACTAGCACAGTTGGCAACAGAGCCCTATTGAATGCACAGTCGTCTCTACACTGGAATGTACTCGTACTGTAATTCAACAAGTTCAAAAGTTCATTCACAACTCTAGCTGTAGTCTGTACAACAACACAGGGCTAAAGACATATCCCCCACCCTTCTGAATCCCCCTTTGTCCAATTATAACTCCCAGTACCACTCATTTATACCACTCCACTGCCTCCAAACACCCTGAGCCGCCACATGGAATTTCTTTCGACCCGTTTCTAACTTTTCCGCACGTAGCAGCTTTGACCACAACAGCAAAAGTTGTAGAAATGGTAAGACTTGCACATGAGTCACACGTTCTTTGTAGTTCTACGTGAACAAACATTTCATGTGTTTTCTCTGGTAGCTTGTCTCGATTTTTTCCCGTGACCTAAATAAGTATGGCTGCACACCACTGGCTGCTCACTGGTGAGGGGGGGGCTGCTTTAGGGCGCTGTCGCCTGCACTTAGCCTCAAAGGTGGTGATACATGTGTACACTACACAACTCGGGGGATGGTGCATTGTTCTCTTACTTACACTTTTTGACTATAGTGAGAGTTTATTTTATTTACCTGTCTAAATATATGAACTCATTCTAAATGACACGGAAGGAAAAATAATTGGTTTGCCATGAAAACATTCCAACACTTCCTACTTCAGACTGAGGCAGTTTGACATTTGAGGTGAGCAAAAAAAAGCACATACTTTGTCCTGACATTGTTTAGTATATTAAGTCGTTTACATTTAAGCTTTAGAAACAGAAAAAAATATCTTTATTATCAGGTTCATATCCTCTTTTCACGCTCTGTCTGAAACCCGAGCCCAGACTGCTCTGATTGGTTAGCTGGCCGGCTCTGTTGTGATTGGTCAACCACTTCGAGGTGTCCCGCACCTTAGCCTATCACTTACAATGTTTTACAGAACTAGCCAATAGAAGCGCATGTGTTACATAGGCGCAATTCATGTAATGCGCAAATGCGGCACAATTGTGCGCTCCCCGCTGCGAGGCTCAGGCCCTAACAGTTCACGAGCGTGCTCCACTAGCAGGTTTTGTGGAGTGTCATAGTTTGATGCCCAGAGCTACCCAGAGTTCGTAATGAGAACGCGCTGACCGAAAAGTAATGACATAATTGGCAAATTGTTGACCTAAACTGAAATCTTACTTAAATCATCAAAGAGTTAGAAGCCAATCAAATGTTGTGATTTGCTCTAGGGAATCTTTTAAACCCATTACAGACAGGATCCAATCGCAATCCAATCCATGGAAGAAGATAACAATTTTGCCAGTGTCAGTGCTTGATTAACGGATTAGTACATGAGCTTCCCATTGAAGACGAAACGTTCCCCCCTTATTCGCGAGTACGGGGGTATGGAGAGAACAATGTAGTATCTCACCTTTACTGCACCGCACAAAAAGCTCCACAGGATGAGGAGGCGCCAGTGTGGGTGCTTGTCGCTATCTAATCACCCCCATCCTGTAGCCCTCCATGACAGAAGAGGAAATGGGGACGAAGGGAGGCCTTTAGTTTCATGAAAACATTTACCCTGTCCTGCACTGATAGCTGCTGCTGTGTATATGTAGGAGAAAGGCCAACTTCACTGGAAAAACGCAGGAAGGATTCTTTACCTTTGGGGAATCTCCTAAATGACTGTCAACAGGTCAGACAAGCAGGATTTCAGGAATGTTGCCAAAACTCAGGAAAGATCTGAGGCAGTGAACTAAGACCAACTGTTGGATGGACTTTTTTTAAATCGTGATTGTCTTCTACAAAGGTTTATGGGAATATTAAGAAGGGTGTTTTCAATTTATTTTGAGAATACAATGGCATAATGTATGTGATGTGTATACGATTGTCTTCTTAAATGCAATAGGTCTATCATATTTTACATTCTTAACTCTCCCTAAACATAACTTTTAATCAACGAGACTAAGTATTTCCATGCCTGCTGAATAGGAGTTACTCGTTGTCATAATCTGTCATTGTGTTTTCTCTTTTATTTTGAAAAGTGTTCAACCCCTGTGTTGAGTCTGCTTTTACTTCCTGATTGTCTGCCCCGCCCTGATTCTGTTCACCTGCTGCCCTTGTGTTTTTTTGACCGCCCCCTCCAGCTGTGTATTGTCAATGCGATTGGTTCTGCTTGTAATTAAGTCCTTGTCTTTTGAGGATCCTTGTCGATCCTTGTATGGGAAAGTTCTGTTCGGTTTCATCTTGTCTTGCCTTGCCCTGTCCTGGATTCCTGACATAAAAGGTATATTTCTGTTATGGCTTCCTTTGAAGTGCTTCTGTGTAATGCATTTGGGTACCGGGCTCTGCTTTCCATGACACTCTAATGGCCTTATGTCCAAACATCCCTATGTGTGTGTTCTTCTGTTTAGGGTTAGGGTTAGGGTTAGGGTTAGCAGAACATCTTTGCTTATGAAACATCTGGGGTAATGTCTGTGCTTAAGTTCTTTTTTAGGTTAATTATTCTTCCTGCTGTGAAATATCACATGGTTTTTCCAGTGTATTCAATAAAGGATGTATTACAGAGTTGGTGGGGGGCGCAAGATTTGGAATGGCTTAAAGAGGTGATTTTGGTTTTCAGTTATTTCTTGACTATCTTAATATTCTGACTCTATATTAACTCTTTCTCTTACTCTCCTTCCTGTCAATCTCTCCATCTCTCGCTGAACCCTGACAAACTTCTCTTTATAGCCTATATAGCTTCCCGGCAGGGGCCTCCTTGGGATCGCAGTGTGGACAGGTGCTCCCGTAGATGTTAAACTGTAGAAAGTCCACATCATGTGATTCACATCATGTTCATACTCATCAACACATGCAGTGACCCCTCCTGCTCTGTACAGCATCTGCATCCAATATGTTTCCTATTCAGGCCTTTTTTTGCTTTAATTTGTTTCCTGTCAGTTCATATAAAGCTTACTCTGCATCAAGTGAAAGTGTCAAACTATAATATGCACTCACACCATCTGCAGGACACTTAACCCTCAT